AGCTGCAGCAGCAAGAAGTCGCCAGTGAGTGCTGCTGCTGCTGCTGCTGCTGCTGCTGCTGACACGCCGTCAAAGGCTGCAGCAGATCCTGGCCAGGTCCAGCTCTCGTGGGCCAGCTGCTGCTGCTGGTGCTGCTGCTGCTGCTGCTGTGGAGTGGTGGTGGTGGTGGTGCTGCTGCTAATGCTGCTGCTGTTTCTGTTGCGCTGCTGCTGTTGCTGTGCAGAGCTGGCTGCTGTTCTTGGCAGCGAATTTGTGTCCTCCAAACAGTTCCGGGGAGAGAAAATGGGATTTGTCTTTAAAACCGGAGACCAAGGTCAAATTGCTGCTGCTGCTGCTGCTGCTGCTGCTGCTGCTGTGGGGTGCTGCTGTTGTGGGGTGGTGCTGCTGTCGTGGATGCGTGCCGCTGCTGCTGCTCTGTTCAATGCTGCTGCTTCTGGTGGCATTTTGCTGCTGCTTTTGTTCGGGGCTGCCTATGCATCTTTCCTTTTTGCTGCTGATTTGCCTGCTGCTGCTGCTCTACTTGCTGCTACTGCTCCAGGACTTGCTGCTGCTGCTCCACCTGCTGTGAGGGCTGCTGCACGTTCTGCTTCTTCTTTATATGCTCCTGCTGCTGCCCTACCTGCTGCCGCTGCTGCCCTAAGTGCTGCAGCTGCTGCTGCCCTAAGATCTGCTGCTGCTGCTCCAAGGTCTGCTGCTGCTGCTGCTGCTGCTGCTGCAGGCGTGGGTTATTATAAAGACCAGCAGCAAGTGCAGCGCCTCTTCGCGGAGACAGGAGGCCGCACTGCTGCTGCTGTTGCTGAAGATTTGGTGAAGCAGGGGAAGATGCATGCGAAGCAAGCAGCAGGGTTGCTAGCTGCTGCTGCTGCTGGCAGCAGCAGCAGCAAGCTGCAACACAGCAAGAAGAGGAAACGATCCTCTTCCTCTGACTCTGACCGCAAGAAGAAAAAGAAGAAAAAAAAGAATAAAAAGCATAAAAGGGCAAAGGGTGAGCTTTAGGGTCTAGGGTTTAGGGTTTAGGGTTTAGGGTTTAGGGTTTTCAATTTGTGGTCTGGACTTGCGAGCGGTTTTGCAGGCAAGAAGAAGAGAAAGAAGAGAGCCAGCAGCAGCAGCAGCAGCAGCAGTAGCAGCAGCAGCAGCAGCAGCGAGGAGGAAGAGGAGACCCCTCTCCCTAAGCCAGTTGCTGCTGCTGCTGCTGCTTCGCCAGCAGCTGCAGCAGCAGCAGCAGCAGCGCCTGCCGCTAAAGCAGCCGCAAGGCCGAATGTTGCTGTTTTGGAAGCAGCAGCAGCAGAAGCCATGCACAGTGCGTCTGCGGACACTGTAGCGGCTGGAGCA